GAGAGAATAATTGCCTCTTTCCCACCTCAAAAATGTCCTTAAACAAACACTAGTGATAGCTGGACCAAGATGTTCCCACATCCGCTGAAAAAGCTCTGAGATGTTGAGCAAAACTTATCTGGTCTTTCCAAGGCACCCTTTTTGAATGCAGAAGGCCATGTCCTCAAAATCACTTGGGTTTTTGGAGAACCAAAAAGCCATTCTCATCAAGATACTGAAAAATTAATTTAATTTAGGTTTAATTTAATTTTCAGTGTTAAGAAAATCCCTTTATTTGTGTCTAAACATGCCTGCCACCTATTTATCTTCCCTCCACTGTGAATATAATGCAAAGAAGGGCTTTGAGGAATAGTGGAGGGGTTGGCATATACTTCTGGACTTAAACCCGTGAGTTTCTCCTGCTCTAATTGAGTATGTGGCTCAACCACACTAGCCATACTAATGTGTGAAGTGGTGCTGTAATGTATGGCTGTTGCTAACACAATGCATGGGGAGGAAGGGGAGCTACAGTAGTTTGGAAAACATCTTGATACTAAACCAGGAAGAAGAAAATGACTTGGGGTGCATGTTGGGATGGTACAGATAAATTTGGAGAAAAGGAAGAGAATGACTATTTTTTTGTCCAAGGAGGAGCCTGGTCCCTGGGGAATGTTGTATACATAAGCAACGAAACTGAAATTTGTGAGGAAATAAAATATGGGTGGCTAAACATTCCCTTCTCACCTCAGCTTCACTTGTAGATGGAGATATTTTCCAGTAACTGGTTTAATCAAGAGAAACTCTTCCTCCCACTTTCTTTCCCACTACCTTTGGACTTCCTGTACCTTTTTGTACTTCAGAACTCTAATGTCTTTTTCTGTTCTGAGAATAACTTTGTTTTCCTACAGGTACTGCATCCCTTCTGTCTTCTCCCCTCCTGCATCTGAATTCTGATATTCCACAGGTGACTGAAAAAAAGCATTAATTTCTCTTCCTTTCTGTGAGCAACATCCCTGCCATTACACATTTTGTATAATGAAGTTTGTGGCACAAAACTGATGCTGGTCATTGAGCATATGAAAGATGGAGCAATGTTTTGTTGTGTGAGCCAAAAAAAGGATTCAAAAAATGTTTTTATCCAAGTTCAGACCTCTGGCAAACAGTGAGGTGCAGCTCCATGTTGAAAGCCTTCTCAGGCACGTGGCTGATATACTTACAGGACTCTCATCTGAAGGTGATCATGCAAGGAAGACTTATTCCAATGAGCTTTTTATATGTGTAGCCTTGTGGAGCTGACATTACCTAAGACATGGCTTTATCAAGCAGCAAAGAGACACAGACTGCTGCAGTATCAGATGTAGGGACATTTCAAGGAGATTGGTGTATACTTTATAAAACTGAAGGGAAATTTCCTTGCCAGAATACAAAATACATCTCCCTCTCCTTACTTTTAATTCACATTTATTACTAAATCTTATGTTGTAAACAAGACTGAGAGGCAGTTTTTTACAAACTGCAAAACTTGGGACTATAAATATGAACATTAAAAACACAGCTCAATATATTGTATGGATAAGCTGGGAATAGACTTTTTAAAATCTGTTTTTGATACAAAGCTAAATAAGACAAGATCCAGCCATCATGTGAATAGTAAGTTAGGTGGGGACTACACAGCCATGAAGTAATGGATGTCCTGTTACCAGGAGCGCATATTGTATCAGCTGTGCTCATGGAGGCCAAGGGGGGTTCAGTTTCCAAATAGTGCCTGTTGAATTTGTTCCTGGCTGAGGAACAAGGGTTAGATCTCCTGAGGAACATTGCTTGGCACTGATGTTGAGGGATTGTTTTGTGTGCATATTGACCTTGGTCCCTATAAAGGCATAAAATGCACGTCTAAAGCCAGATGACTGGTTTGCAAAATGTAGCAGCTCATGTAATACACAAAGCAGTTGGCTTGACTAAAAAGACAACTACTTTCCTTTAAAACAATCAGAGCTGGGTGGAAAATCATCGACTCATCCTACAACAACTTTCGAGGTACCACCCCATCCTGCTCTTCCATCCTGAGGGCAAAGTAAGACCTTCAGAGGGTAAATCCTCCCACAAGCCCAGACTGATGCCTTGCCCGAGGCATGGAGATCTGCATGCCCTGGGGAGCCAGCTCAAAGCACAGAGCCTGAAGGCCAACCTGGTAGCTGTTCACTCCACTTTGCCTTACATATGGTGCTTATAGGCTAATTATCCAAACTTCATCAGGTCAATGGACAGTTCCATCACTGGTGTTTCAGAAGTGGGTCCTCTGTTGGACCGATGAGGCACTTAGAGCAAGTTCCCTCCTAACTGACTTGCAGCAGCTCCTTTTCCAGCTGATCTGCGTTGGGTAAAACCTCAGCTGCTCACTGAAACAGAGACATGAGCTGGGATCTGCCATATCTCAGGCAAGGCCCCCGGTGGTTGAAGAGTTGACCATTTGCACTAGTTGACCTTCAGAAACTGACCAGCCTGGTGCAGTGGCCTGGTCCCTGTTAACGTGGGCTTTGGAGGCTTCTGGATGGCCCAGCTGGGATGTGAACCTGAGCTTATACCACACCTTCAATACTCTGCTCTGGGGGACATGTGGAGCCGGGTATCTTTTTCTCCCCTTCTCTATTCTCCTGGCACAGGAAAGCTTGCCCTGAGGTGAGACAGCTTTGCTGGCTGATTGCTGAGTGCCTGGGGAGGACGGCCTGGGGGAGTGGGGCTGGAGGAGCACTTGCAAATCTATTTTATTGCTGTTTCAGTTATCTCAGTTAAAAGTTTTTTTCTCAGGGAAAGTTTCATGTTTGACATTTTCTGAAAAATACCTCATCAGTTTCATGCTTAAATGATATTTTTGCAGTAATTAGGTAACGTAGCTCATATATTACAGCAATGCAACATTCCTTACCAGGGAAGTATTAACTCTGCACCCACCATGACTGACGCAGCTTCCCAGACAGAGCTGCGGTGGGAACTCGCTGCCAGCCAGGTGCCAGGCTGCAGGCTGTGCCCTGCTCGTATGCCAGTACCGGACGGCAGCAGTGAGCACACTGTGGGAGGTGCGCCCAGGCAGAGGAACTCCTCCGCTTAGTGACAGAGCTCCGGGAGGAGACGAGTACGTGAAGGAGTATCAGGGACAGCGAGAGAGAGAGAGACTACTGGAACCGCACCCTACCTTCCCTGGGACAGGCCCGACAGGCAGACAAGACGCATGATACGAAGGATTCCCTGTCTGTTGGAAAAGGACCTGGGGGTGCTGGTTGACAGCAGCTGAACATGAGCCGGCAGTGTGCCCAGGCGGCCAAGAAGGCCAATGGCATCCTGGCCTGTATCAGAACTAGTGTGGCCAGCAGGAG